AGCAGGAGGGTTGGCATTACGAGCTTAACGATCCCTCCGAAGACATATCTTACAAAGGTTCTATTTGTTTGTATGCCTTAGAACTTCAGTAACATATTAGTGATTTAGGAATCCTGTTTAACTATAACGTGGTCTCTGTGTAATTTTATTTGTTCTCCCTCTCTGATTAAGAAGGCTTCAAATTTTCAGGTGTTGTTTTTAATGAGATGAAAGGTGTCTATTCGCAGCCTGATAACATATTAGGGCGGACTGCTCAGCAGGCAAGTTTCAGTTCTTCCTCGATTGTAATTTACAACGTTTGTTAAGAGTTTTGTTTCTTGAAGTAAATCTTTTGTAACGGTTTCAGTGGATCATTGTCTGTTCAGCAAATAGGTACACTTGGTCTTGTATTTCTTTAGCATTTCTTCGTAGACAATTTTAGATAACTGAGTAAATCTGCATTACATTTTTATACTTTTGTGTATATTGCTTGGTTGTTCAATGTCCTTGATAAAAACGTAATTGTGCGTATCATAATGTAACTCATCATCAAAGTTCTGTAATGTGCTACAGAAAAGCTCGTTAAATAATCGTAGAGAATTACTTCATTATTCTGGTTCTAATAAAACTACTTTCTATGGGACTTGTTTTTTAGGCACTATACCCAGAAAATGCATATGGTGTTGACAGTGGAGGTGATCCAAAAGTTATCCCTAAGCTGACATTTGAAGAATTCAAGGTTCGTTAAGTCCTTCATGTTAACTGTTGATGTTAAATATGTGACATCGTAAAACCACTGAAATGTATTAATATAATTCTTGTTTTGATGAAAATGTTAGGATTTCCACCGCAAGTATTATCACCCGAGCAATGCCAGAATATGGTTCTATGGGGATGATGATCCAGTTCACCGTCTCCGCATCTTGAGCGGTAAGGAACAATATCCTCCTTTGTGATTTTTCATATAACAAGTAATCGTTTCTCTTATTTCAACTTGGAAAAGTCAATAATCTGGATTGCACATGAGCTTTGATGCTCCTGAAGAATCATGGACATCAATGTTCATCATCTGTGTCAATATTGAAGATGAGATCAAATTTGGTCTTAAATTCTATCTTAATTATTAATTATAATCAGTCTCATTATTATTATTGAAAACTTCCTATTTTTCATTTTTTAAACTACATTTGCAGATAAAATAGAACTTTTATTCTGTTTACAAATATCCAAATAGGTTAATTGAATTTATTGGACTTGGACTACAAATCTTATTTCAGCTTTCTTGTTTGTTCAGAATACTTGGATATGTTTGATGCAAGCCCAGCTCCTAATGACTCGAAAATTGAACCACAAAGGCTATATTCTGAGCCTCACAGGATAGTTGAGAAATATCCTGCTGGTGGAGATGGTGACCTTAAAAAGAAGCACATGGTGTCCCTTAACTGGCTGTTGTCTGATAAGCCCTTGGATTTGCAGACTCAACTTGCACTTGGGTTTTTGGATCATCTTATGCTGGGGACTCCTGCTTCTCCACTAAGAAAAATCTTGCTGGAAAGCGGTTTGGGAGAAGCCCTTGTTTCTAGTGGAATGGAAGATGAACTCTTGCAGCCACAGTTCAGTATTGGTTTGAAAGGTGTTTCTGAAGACAATGTCCAAAAGGTTGAAGAATTAATCGTGTATACTCTTCAAAAGTTGGCAGAAGAAGGGTTTGACAGAGATGCGGTGGAGGCATCTATGAATACAATTGAATTTTCTCTAAGGGAAAACAATACCGGATCTTTTCCTCGTGGTTTATCACTTATGCTGCAGTCGATTGTAAGGTTTTGCCCCTTTCAGATTTCCATCTCAGTTTAGTTATGCTCTATTACTGATTATCTGGCCATTTGCTGTTCAGGCAAAATGGATATATGACATGGATCCATTTGAGCCATTAAAATATGAGCAACCATTGAAGGACCTTAAGGCCAGAATAGCCAAGGAAGGTTCTAAGGCTGTTTTCTCCCCGCTGATTGAAGAGTTTATCTTGAATAACTCTCATCGTGTTACCATAGAAATGCAGGTATTTTTTCTTCTCTGAGGAGTTTTTTGTTTCTATATAGTGTTTCTATTTCCATGCTGACAACAATTGTTGTCAGCCTGATCCAGAAAAAGCTTCTCAAGACGAAGCAGAGGAGAAAAATTTTCTAGAAAAAGTTAAAGCGAGTATGGCCCAAGAGGATCTAGCAGAGCTAGCTCGTGCCACAGAGGAGCTGAGATTGAAACAAGAGACTCCTGATCCTCCTGAAGCACTGAAATGTGTCCCAAGTTTGTCTTTGAGTGACATTCCAAAAGAACCTATTCATGTTCCTACAGAGGTAATCAGAGTCCTTGTCCGTTGTTTTTCTACCTTTTCTTATATTTGTTGAGCTTAAGAGTGTACTGATAATGAAATCCAAACAACAGGTTGGAGAGATTGATGGAGTGAAGGTTTTGCGGCATGACCTTTTTACAAATGATATTCTCTACACCGAAGTAGTCTTCGATATGGGTTCTCTGAAACAGGAGCTTCTTCCTCTTGTACCACTCTTCTGGTAACTTGTTGATATGAATCTTTTTATGAGTTTAATTTTTATGCATTTCTCGCCAGTATTTAATAACCTAGTTTTACCAGAAATGCCAATTTGCTGAAAAACTGATGAAGATATCGCTCAATGTTTTCCCTGCTTGAATCTTACATTGGGTCGTCAAATTAACTAACAAGATGCCTATCTCCTGGCTTCTGGTGTATTTTTAAGCATCTGGGATAAAATATTTGCCTGATTTGTGGCCAGTCTCTCCATATTGGTTTGCAATTTTTGAATTCTGTGTTGAAGCTCTGACATAATTATCTTATGCAGTTGTGCTGTAGTGTCAATGATTTATTCTTTAGTACAGCTATATGTCTTGGTTGATTAAAGAATAATCATCTATCTTGAAAACCACTGCTTTTGATAAAGATCTAGTCTTGTGAAGATCCTTGGCCATGCTCTAGTGTATATAGAATGCAGCTTCTGCTAACCTAGTTTGCTATGACAGAGATTTCTCCTAGTTTTTGTTTCGAACTTCAAAGATGATTAAGCACCTTTTCTAGGTCTTCTCTATACTTTTTCTTTTGATTGATTTCTGTTGATCTCATCCCAGAAATTTGCATTGCTATAATATATTTTCTCCTGATATAGATGGCCTTTTGACATCAAGTCGGTTGGATTTTGGTGTATTTTGTTACCTAGATGATTTGCATTTGTTCTATTCCCCTTTACAGAGTAACTTTATGATTAGCAAAAAGCAAATGGGCTGACCTGCTCTAGTTAATTTTAATACCTTAACAATTTTTCTTGACAGTCAATCATTACTGGAGATGGGCACAAAAGATTTGACTTTTGTGCAACTTAATCAGTTGATTGGAAGGAAAACTGGAGGAATATCAGTTTATCCCCTTGCATCATCAGTGAGAGGCAAGGATGATCCTTGCAGCAAAATTATCGTGCGTGGAAAATCCATGGCTGGTCGCGCGGAAGACCTTTTTAACCTGGTACTTCTATTCTCTTTGCAAATATCTGGCTTGGCTTATGAAAATTTGCTTTAGATTTCCATATGCTGTGTTATTGAAGTATGTGATGTAGAATTTTCTACTGATAGGTTATGTTCCTCTTGGCTTGTTGACATTAACTCATGCTCTGCAGGTGTTAGTTTCTCTTTTTGATGCTTCCCAAGTACTAGATGAGCTTTAGATACCTATTCGATTCTTAATCTCTTACCTTCACTGTGAAACAAAAATTGGCTCACTTCTCTGTTTCTTTCTTTCCTTTCCTGAATTCTTTTTCATGCCATTTACAAGTCTTCAATGTAAAGTGCATAAATAAGATTCCAATGTTACTGTATTAGGCATTCATATTTTGCTTTGAATTGTTATGTTGAATTTTAGGGAATGTCTCCAATGAGTGTTGACCTTCATTTCCACCTTCAAGTTCCTACAGAGGAGGAAAAAATGAGATAGACATAGAAAGTAGCAGTAGAATGATGTAAGAGTGTTGCAATTCTTTAAATGACGTAAAAATGTGCAGTACTTTAAATGACTTTCCTTCATCCAACTGTGCATTAGTCATTTTCTATGTAATATGCTTTTGATTTCTATCAAAAATGTAGTTTTGGTCTTGGATCAGGTTATATGAGGTTTATTCGCTTTTTTTTTAACTGTAGATCAACTGGGTGTTGCAAGAAGTTCAATTTACTGATCAGCCTCGGTTTAAACAATTTGTGTCTCAAAGCAAAGCGCAGATGGAGGTATACAGTAGTGTTTCTTTCTCCTTTGTGCATGCTAAATGGAACTGAGAGGTGATATAAACATTCAAATTTTGTTCTGGATTCAGAATCGATTGAGGGGAAGTGGTCATGGAATTGCTGCTACAAGGATGGAAGCAATGCTAAACGTTTCTGGATGGATGTCTGAGCAAATGGGTGGTCTCAGGTTGAAACCTAAAATCTTACTTATTAAACTTTTGTCTTTGCTCGTTTTTGGTGAATAATCTCCTTTGAGTATTGATATTATTGAAAATTGTTATTTGACCTTATTACCGGTGTAGGATCAGTACTTACAATACAGGGTTTTCTTGTCTTATCATTATCTGATCCCAAAAACTAGAAGAGTGTAATAGAGTTCTATTTTCTTTTATTTGTAGTTACCTTGAATATCTGCAAACCCTGGAACAGAAAGTGGAACAAGATTGGGAAGGAATTTCTTCCTCACTCGAGGAGATCAGGAAATCCCTCCTTTCTAGGAATGGTTGCATAGTTAACATGACCGCTGATGGGAAGAGCCTCACAAACTCTGAAAAATTCGTCAGGAAATTTCTAGATTTGCTTCCTGAAAACCCGTCTGGTGGACATGTCTCATGGAATGCCCGACTTCCTTTCAGAAATGAAGCTATTGTGATACCGACCCAGGTCAAAGAAATGAACATCCTTTTTTATTTGGGTCGTAAGTTTCTCCATCATGTGTTTCTCTTAATCCAACTTTTCTTTGACGCAAAATCTTTTCAGGTAAACTATGTGGGAAAAGCAGGTAACATATATGGAACTGGTTACAAACTTGATGGGAGTGCTTATGTTATATCGAAGCATATTGGTAATACATGGTTGTGGGATCGTGTCCGTGTAAGTGGTGGTGCCTATGGAGGTTTCTGTGATTTAGATACTCATTCAGGTATAACATCTTTCCATCTGATTGGAAAAGACTCTGTTTCATGTTTTTCTTTTGCACCTTAATTTTTGGATTTCGTTTTCGTTTTTTTTTCAGGAGTATTTTCTTTCTTATCGTATCGGGATCCCAACTTATTAAAGACCCTCGACATATATGATGCAACCGGGGATTTCTTACGTGGGCTTGATGTGGATGGAGATACACTTACCAAAGCAATTATAGGAACAATCGGAGATGTTGATTCATACCAACTTCCCGATGCCAAAGGTTATAGCAGGTACAAATTAAATTATTATGCTCAGCGTATAGTTTGTCTTGGCAATGGCCTCTTCAAGGAAACATCACGGATCCTGAATTAAGAGTTACCATCTCTTTTCACCAGCTTGTTGAGACATTTGCTGGGAGTAACGGATGAAGAGAGGCAAAAGAGGCGTGAAGAGATATTAACAACAAGGTAAACCTCACATTTATTCTCATTTTCGCTTTAGCTGAATATCACCAAGATCGCTTTTGTTGTCACTTTCCCCGGTTTCCCGTCTCAGTGATTATTGAATCGTGGGTATTTTGGATCTGTCAGTATAGTTTTCTACTTTTCTTGAGATAGGTTTTTGTTGGTCTTGGTATTGATGAAAAATATCTTGGCCCATGATTTTGTTGTGTATCTGATGGAAACCCGTAAGTTGCTATCGGAACTTTGTCATTCTAACGGGACAACAACCATTGGAACGCAAAGTGAGTTGTGTATACCTTCCTTTTCGGGAGAACATTGATCTCCAATAGATCCCAAAATATGCGATGTCTCATTTATAGGATAATTTTGTTTCATATAGAAGCCTGCAGTATAGATAGATAGACATACAGTCATTATCATTTCCCTTTTCAATGTTCTTCCCCTGTTCCAGTGCTTTTGACTAATTAAACATAGGTTCAAATGGCTCATCGGATTTCGTCGTTGGTCCGGTTTACATAAACCGGATTATCAGTAACCAAGAACAAGTTTTGGACTTTAAATGGGTTAAAGTTAACTTCCTTCACCTTCCACTGAATTCACAGTTTAAAGGACTTCAAGGAATTTGCAAAAGCCATAGATGCCATCAAAGGTAAAGGTGTTGCAGTGGCTGTGGCATCTCCAGAAGACGTCGATGCCGCAAACAAGGAACGATCGGGTTTCTTTCGGGTAAATAAAGCTCTCTGAAATCCCTACAAATGAAAACTACACTTTCTTTGACAGTCCGAAAATATCAAAATCATTCAGTCTGCTATATATATTTTTTTTACTTCGGATTTCACAGTATAAAAACAAAGCTATATTTGCTAACATTGATGAGCTTTTTAACAGTATTGATATTAAAGCTTATTGTTCTTGCCTTCTTCATTTGTTTATGCTTTCTTCTAAGTACATGCTTCTTCTTAAGTCGTAAAGTTGTTTCACTGAGTCTTCAGTTGCTTTGTTTTGTGTTGTGTCCTTTTTGTTCATGTTTACTTAAGTGTCCTCTTGTTCCAAAGTTCTTGTTTTTCTACTGAGTTGTAGTTGTGTTCTGTCCTCTTTTCTTTTTTTCATTTTTTCTTATCAGAAAGTTTTTGTTAGTGAAAAAATTACTGTCTTTTTAATTAGTTTTAGAATTATAATTCTATTTAAGTGATAATTAGTGAAAAAAAAATAGGCAAGAAAAGCTATTAAAATTTCACTTGTTCGAAAAAAGGTAGAAAAATAAAAGTTTGCCTTAAAAAAAAGTTAAATATATTTTGGAAAAAGAATAACAAAAAAATGGAAACATGAGGAATATATGGTTTAGGTACGTATTCCTTATAAAGAATTTAGAAGTAGTAGAAATTTTGGAAGTAGTCCTCGTTTAAGGAACAACAACAAACTACAGATGATATAATAAGAGTTGTTCTCTGTACAAAAAAAAAATGATTTATTTTATTGTAAAAATATTAAATTTTAAAATTTTAAATATAATTTTGGTAAGAATAATATTAAATATTAATTAATATAATAATTATAATCTATATAATAGAAAAATAAAACTACTGATCGTTTGTTCTCTATTAAATTAAAATGTAAATGATTGGTAATTATAAATATAATAGTAAATAATATCTCCAAAATTTTGTAGTTGTAAATATCTGTTTTCTTGACTTTTTATAGTATATTAGTTATAGGTGAACTTTTTAATTTATTTTGAAATCTTTTAGTAATTATGAATTTCAATAAATCTTTAATTTGTAACAATTCTATTTTATATATTTGATTTAATTTTTTAAAATAATATTTTTAATTTATTTAATAAAGACTAAATCAATGGTAACAAATAAAATTTTATATGTTGATATTACACTATGGTTATGGATATAATATAGCCTACTCAGTCTCAAACACACACTTGCACACTTGAGATTACATTTTCGAGATATTGAGATTTACTTTTTACTCGAATTATGTAAAAATATTAGTGTTGAATGTATATTACAAGTCTAACATATACACACATGCGTATACATGATTTAAAAGCTCTAATATAAATAATAAATATATTAAAAACACCTTTCGGACAAAATTTTTATCGAGTCAAATATATCATTATTTTATTATTAATTTATAATAATAAAAAAATTGTAATTGAGTGTTCAATATTATGGCTGACACTGGAGTGATAATTAATCATATGATTTGGATGTTGGTATTTTTAGAGTAAATGAATGGGGTTTATTAATAATCTCTCAAGAGATTCATAGTTATATGTATTACGGATATGGTGGAGGAGTTAAATGTTCGTAAATGATATAATATGGATCGGTGAAACACATATGTGTTTGGCAGTAAAGTTGTTCGGTTTGTGAGTGAGGTATACCTCAACTCGGGTGAAGTAGAACTCAGTCTTCATGACGAAAACAAAATTTTCTTTACAGAAATGTAACTCGGTCCGTGTTAGATTTAACTCGGACCGTGTTGATTGTCTGAGGAATAATTCGTGTTGCACAGAAATTTGACATGACCCGTGTCAGGTGGAACTCGATCTGAGTCAAAAGTCTGTGAGAAGTACTTGTGTCAAGTGTAACTCGGAACATGACAGTTATATACGAACTGATGCGATTCTTCGCGTAATAACTGCAGATTTTGCAACTTTTGGTGATGATCTTTGGTGTTTATATACTAAAGATGTCAGAATAAGTTGGGAACGAGATTGATTCCATTTTTGAGAGATTTTGAGAGCACTTTCGGAAGTTTCTTGCAAAAACTATCCCGAGAGCTTTCGTTCATCTTCTTCTACTCATTTCCTTGTCTGTGCGTTCTTGAACGAGCAATTCTAGAACGTATTTCTCTTCATTGTATCTCAGAATCGTATTCCGGTAGTCCTTGCTCGTAACGGACGGAATAACGGTTTTAGGAAAGTGTCTACACGCCTTGAAGAGATATCCGGTCCCTCGGTTCGATTTCATTCTCATTTTTCCGTTGATTTCCTCCAGATCTCTAACAATCTAAAACCGTTATCCACTCGAGGATGACATCTTCTGTGAGGGATTTGGCTATGAATTTTCACAAACTCGACAAATTCGAGGGCGTGGGCTTTAGGCGGTGGCAGAAGAAGATGCACTTCTTGTTGACGACGCTGAATGTCGTCTACGTCATCAGCACACCCAGACCGGAAGAGACCGAAGAAGAAACCTTGGCGCAGGCACGTATACGAAACAAATGGGACAACGACAACTATGTATGCTGCGGTCACATTCTGAACGGTATGTCCGACGAAATCTTTGACGTATATCAACACATAGACACGGCGAAAGCCCTATGGGAATCGTTGGAGGCTAAATACGTCTCGGACGATGCCTCCAGCAAGAGATTTCTTGTAAGTAGTTTTAACTCTTACAAGATGGTTGACTCGAGATCGGTTATGGAGCAATTCCATGAACTACAGAGGATCTTAAGTCAATTTACACAACACAAACTGAAGATGGATGAAGCCATAAAGGTTTCTTCCATTGTTGATAAACTTCCACCAAACTGGAAGGATGTCAAACGTTCCCTAAAGCACCGAAAAGAGGACATGACCCTTGAACAATTGGGAACACATCTTCGCATAGAGGAGGATCTCCGAATGCAAGATGGTAAAGATGTTTCTCTTCCATCCACGGTTAATGTGGTAGAAGAAGAGAAACGCGGGGCCAAAAGGCAAAACAAGAAACCCTCTAAAGGTAATCCCAAGAAGAAAACAAAGTCGGATACGGCTTGTTGGTTTTGTAATAAAAAGGTAATCCCAAGCGGGATTGCTACTCGTGGAAGAAGAAACACGGGAAGAAGAGTGCAGATGGTCAAGGAAAAGACCTCGACCAACCCACTCAAGGTAAGAACGATTGTTTCTTGACAAATTCTATTATGAGTTTTGTGGCTATGATTTATGAACTAAATCATGTTCAGGAGGGTGACCAATCTTGGTGGATCGATTCGGGTGCAACTCGACACATATGTAAGGATCGTGGACTCTTCAAGGCTTTCAAAGTTGTTGAAGACGGAAGCATTCTTTACATGGAAAACGACTCTACAGCAAAAGTCCAAGGCATTGGACAAGTAGAGTTGTTACTTACGTCCGGGAAGTCTCTAACACTTAGGGATGTATTGTATGTTCCGGATGTTCGAAGGAACTTAGTGTCGGGTTGTGTACTCAATCGGTTCGGGTATAAGACGGTATTTGAGGCCGATAAGTTTATCCTTTCAAAAGGAGGAGTGTTTGTGGGGCAAGGATAT